CTCCACTTCTCACAATATCTTCATCACTGATGGTTTCCTCTGAGCGTTACTGCACTGCAACACGTAACTTGACCTGCAGGCTCTGTGGAGGCCGTACCTCACCAGTCTCTTTCTGTATGGATGTATAGACGATGCAGGAGCCTTTGTATTCCCTGCGGCCCGTCTGTGCCTGAACATCCGACAGCCTCCTGCCGACTCTGTGAGCTGATTAGAAGATAAAGCAGCGAGAGCAGCGTCTCCCCTTATCTTTAGAATAACGGACTGTGATGGAGAAAGGTATTAATAGGTAGAAACATGGACTCACTGACTGTAGCGCATGCTAATCAGTACTATATACTACTGATACTTTGCTCATGTATGAATTCAAATACATGTGATGCATTCAAACAACTGGAGAAAGAATAATTGAAATGTATTTACATGAACCAGGTACAGACCTAAACCCAGGAAGCTCCTCTGATGAAAACAGATGATCTTCAGCTCAGAGATGTAAATTAATTAGGATAAGTGGATTCAGAAAATGGATGGTGGGATCTATATCAATTAATTCTGTTTCATATTAAAAGGATACATGGACTAAAGAGAGGTCACTTAAGGTAAAATGAAAATCATGATACATCTGTATTAATATAGTGACAATATTTCTAATACATGTCTAATAAATCTCTCTTGTGTTTGGCTGGATTTAAATACATACATGAGGGGGTCCCCTGAAAATGGTTCTGTCTTAAAGATGGTCCCTGGCTGAGAAAACCGATGTAGAAGATGTTAATATTGCATTTATTGCTTTGTGTTTTATCTACTGCATGAATTTAACTGTGCGCAAAAATATGTTGACAGATATAATGGATGGATGCATGCGTGTGGTTATTACCTCCGCCTATAAGGAGGTTATGTTTTCATCTGTTTGTTCCTGAGTTTGCAGGATTGCACAAAAACCACTGGTTTCCAAAGAAACTTGGTGGAAGGATGTGGTACGAGTCCGGAAATAACCCATTATGGTTTTGGTGTGGATCCAGATCAGGGGGCAGGTCCAGGAATTCAAATTTAACACGTCCTTTTTGGGAATTTCTAAAGAAAATAATAATGAAATCATGGTGAAAAAAGTAAGTGAGTCAGATATGTATTTAGAGGGCATATCTATAAGTGTATGTAATTTGTTGCGGCTGGATTGACAGTGAGAGGACTGCTGGGCCTTGGCGGAGGAATGCACTTACTGTGTCATTCATTTAATCACTTGTAATTAATCCAACAAAAATACCCAGTTTTATTCCTCAGAGCCCAAGGTGACATTTTCAGTCATACAGACACATGAGAGAGCGAGAAACACAGCTGACAAAGCAGGAAGCAATGACTGTTTTGCATTTTTGCTTTAAAAAGCATTAATTAATCACACCTCAAAACACTTGTATTTGTTCATTTCTTGATCCATAAATCGATGAATAACCTAATAGAGTATTTAGACGGATGGAAAGACAGACTGACTTTCCTCCTACCGTCTCATGATAAAGGGTGAAAAACGATTGCACTATTTGCTGAAACAACACCTAGAGGCATGAAAGTCATTACTCAAGCTGCTTAACACAGAACTTATTTGCACTTTAAAGCTGAAATCTGAAACTTCTTCTGCAGCGCATTGTCACCCTCTGCATAGTAATTACAGGCGACTGGAGTTTGAGAAAGGAAAGTGAAACATTTTCCCTGGGTGCGCCGACAACTGTGATTTTTATCTTTTAAAACTGGCTTTTCATCAGGTACAGAGAGTCCAAGGAAAAGTAGGCTGGTTTGGAAATGTTGAGCTTTGTCCTAACGTGATATCGAAGAGAGGCTGAAGAGATAACACTCTTGCAATGTTTCTCACATGATTCAACAGCAACTTAAACTATATAATGCAGATTCTGTTTGTCCCGTACATGTGCATTTGTTTTAGGAGCAACAGCTCAAGGAAAATATCCTCTTCAGACACAGTGGATAAGTGAAATAACAGTGTTATGACAGCGGGCTTATCAACTGTTATTATTATTTTTTTATTATTATAAAAAAGTATAAAGGACCTTTTTAAAGAGCACTTTTTTTCTGCTTCCTACCAATTTGGATTGCTGCAGAAATATCAGACCGAGTCAGGAGAGAGTTGAGTTGGTTTCATCACTCAGGATCCATTATCACAGCACTGACGATATGCACACAACCAACCACCCACACATCAGACGAAACACACACACACACACACACACACACACTTATGAAAGCGAATGCTGCCTCGTAACTGTAACAGCAGACAGACAGAAAGATGAAGCAGAATTTCTGATTTCAGGCAACAAAAACACAAGCTGCTGGAAAGAAAAAGTACTGGAGGCTGAAATCAGAACATGATGGAGGTAAACACATAACTCAAGTGCTGAGAGGAAAGGTCCTCGCACACTTGACATGTTGTTTTGTGTGTAAGTTATTCATATTTGTATTTTGTTTTCCGGACAGAGGACGATTTTTCCAAGGTTTCCCTTCCGACATGTATGGAACTAGACAGAATGTGTGCTGTTGACAACAGCTCTGCAGCCATCACTAACCCCATGATCTGGTTGGTTGGCACATCTCACCCCTGATGCTGCAGCTTCAGCACTGTGAAAGTTTCTCAGTAAATAATTCACAGATATATTTTCTGTAATTCTTAAGATTTTCTAGAGGTCATAAACTAGAGATAATCAGAGCCAACTGACTGAAGGGCTGTCAGAGTGGCTGCTGCTGCTCTAAAGACCCTACGGACAATCTTTTTATATTTATTTTGGTCATATCACACTAGAGGAAGCTTGCAAAATGATCCCAAATTCTTTCCGGGTGCCAGAGGGAGCAGTCTAATCTGATCTGGAGGAAACATTTAGCCATTAGAGTTCTGGCTGCACAGAGATCGTCCAACAGATTTTAAATTCCACTTCCTCTCTCCACAAGAAGAGCCACGTATACATGTTTCAACAGTCGTGAGATGTTGCACTGCTTGTCCCTATTGTTTCTCTGGTTTATCGTCTCGCGGTGCTGATTTAATTACATGTGCTCCTCTGGAATATAAAGAAACGATAAACTGAATTAATGCGTAAAAAACTCTATAAACTGTTGACTTCAAAGAGGCCTCTGTCTTCCTCTCATAAGTCTCCACAAACAGCATAAAATCCATGTAGTGATCAATAAGAGTGTGGACACACACACACGAGAACACTGATCACTAGCTAATTATTTCTTTGAACATAAGGTGGAAATGCACAGAACATACCACACACACACACACACACACACAGAGAGAGAGAGAGAGGGGTGTGCGCATGAACTCTCCACAGACGGCATCACTGTGCCCCGGTCAATCAATCAGAAAAACAGGCTCTCAGGCACATGAACACACAACAAGAGCAAAGCGAACACACACACTTCTTCCAAAATAAGCCCATTATCTCCTGATCAATAGAACAAACAACAAAGCTAATCAATTCCATTGATCTTGTTGACAGCATCACTCAATTAACCGGCACTTCTCACCAACTGTCTGTGATTTTATCACCTAAAGCCGTTCTCCCGTGAGAGAAAACACTGCTGCTGCGTCTAAATGAGTCTCCGCCTGACAAGAGCACTGATGCTGAGATCTGAGTAAGTAAGAGTCAAACTGCACAGGAGACAGAAAGAATTCCTACTCTGCCAATTAAGCACAAACATGTTGGCTGCAAAGGAATAACAACAACAGCCTCCTGATGTTGATGATGTCCAGCGGTGAAGCCAGAGAGAAGATGATCTGACTTTGGTTTAAAGCTTGTTAGGATCAAACATCTGCTTTGACCAGAAGCTTCATTGAGATGAAGGATCAAATTCATCTCCTCAGACCATTGGTGTCAGTTTTGTAACATAAAAAATACCAATGAAACTTGGTGGAAGGATGGAAGAAGGGCCAAGTCAGGACCCATTACCTATTTTTTGACATTTTCACCAATTACCCAGGGACTAGTTCATGGATCTAGAAGAAAAAATCTATGGGTGTGGGCGATTTGGTGCAGTGTGATTATATTTAAGGAGGCTTGGGGCAGGTATGTGCACTACTGAGTGTAATTCTAGTCATTTTTAAATGACAGCAAAAACAAAATTACCTTTTTTCTGATCTCTCTATCATTACTTTTATAAATGCAGCCAAAACCCATTGTACCAATAGATGTGCTAAACAAATTAAAGACTAACTAGAGGACTATTAAGCGAGTAAAGAGATATTTTCCCCTCGACCAAAGACAAGATTAGAGTGTGATTTACACTAACAACTCGGTCAGAAACTGAACTCAATAATGTTGCTTCATATCTGCTGGACTGAAATAATCAACTAGTTCACTTATATTACAACAGATCTGCATGCTTTTCAAAAATATTGCAATCCAGCTGCAGAGTCATGTTTTATCAAACTGAAAACAACACTACACACTTTGGATTTCCAGCATTGATGCTTCAGTTTGTAATCATTCTTCAATTAGTCGTAACAATGCATTCAGGGTTATCAGTTTCTTTTTAACCTGATCAGCACCGGCAGTGATCAAAAGGAGACAGAGACAGAACGGACGAGAGAGAAAAGACAGAGGGAGATAAGACAAATTAGAAACCAGCTGTAAAAACAGAGTGTGTGCGTCTGTGTGTGTTTTGTGACACAGCGAGGACGCAGGTCTAAGGTTCAACAGCGGCAACATTACTGGAGCCCCAAAGTACACGCTCACAGTATGATAAGGTATTACCACATTTTCATGTTTCAAATACACAGAGACCTGCAGTTAACCGTCACACTACACTCTATTTCTCTGTATGACATATACATAAGGACACACGCACACACACACACACACACACACACACACACACACACACACACACACACAGGCCCGTCCAGTATAGCTAATCTTCTTAGTGATCACAAGGTTTGACTGTTGGAATGGAACAAAGTTCACATCGTCAACAACAACCAATGAGAGAGAGAGCGACAGAGAGAGGAAACACAAAGATAGAAAAGAAAGACAGACATAGATGAAAAGACAAAGGCTCAGAACGAGAATCACAACTTTGTCTTCTGGGTTCAAACGACCATCTTTTCTCTCGGAGCGATTGTTCTTTGGATTATATCACTGCGCTCTGTGTCGACACATGATGTGATTGAAAAGTTCCTTTCACGTCTTTAGTGTATGTGACCGCCATCACCAAAGCGTCACCTCTCACTGTTGCTGAAATGCAGACTATTTAATAAGATCTAGAATCGTGAGGACAACTGTTGGGACCACTATGCAGTAGCTCACTGAGGATATCCAGCAGCCGCCTGCGATCCATCTCCACCTTCATTCATATCTGCATTTAAGGGAACCTGAAAACTGTGAGTGGACATTTTGGAATATCTCCATGTATATGTGATGCGTCGCTGAAGATTATTGTTGAACTGTTGTTGAAGTATTTTCTCAACCTTTGACCTCGGTGACCTCACCGATTGTTTTAATCACATTCAAATGTTTTACTTTATTTTGTTTTCACTCTTTTGTTGCCTTTAACATTTTTACTTTATATTTGTGCCCTAATGTCTAATCCTGTAATTGTTTTTAATAGTTTTAACTTGTGAAACACCTTGTAACTGTGGTTTGAAAAATGCTATTTAGATGTTTAGAGGTTCTTTAAAATAATTATTATATACTTAAAACATGACTTCAACAAGGGCTGGGCCACAAAACAAGAATACTAATTATTGCAATATCACAAAAGATCAAAATATATAAATGTAATGGTGATGCAGTGTGATGAGGAGGTAAAATATATAATTATCGTTATGTTCTATCTCAGATTTAAAGTGTCTGTCTTTAAACTTGAAATAAATTGTAATGCCACATTTATCTTGATAATGATAAAAAATAAAAAACGTATTGTTGGAAATAATGTAATTTCGACAGGATCCAGGATGAGCCAATGAGAACACGATAAAACTGTAGAGTTTCTGTTTATAAATAAAACAGGCCACCACAATTAGATTCCCCTGAAAAGCCAATCTACTGTAATCAAATTATTCTTCCTTCCTATATTGAAATCACATCAATTATTTAACATCCTTTAGAACAATGTGGAAAACACGGAGCTTATTAGTAAAATATGAAACATTTACCCAGTCTCACCTTCACTTAGGAGCCTGGAAATCTTAATCATTTGCAGTGTGTTACTGGTAATATATTTCTCAAAAGCCTTTTACAAAGAGATCCAGCTTCACTGCCGTTAAGATGACCCTTCGTCATTCAGTCAGCATGCTGGTGTTCCAGTATCACAACAGCATCTGCATCTGTCCCGCCACACTGGCTCTATATTTCACACAGCTGTAAATCTGGCTCTGTGAAGCAACAATGCCTCCCCAGTCATGTTCATACATTAATGTAGAAGTGCAAGTTTAAAAGGACCGTGTAAAAGTGGCTCATGTCCTGCAAATACCTTCTATAACATATTCTTTTGAAATATTCTCATTCCACTGCTGTTAAAATGATAATGCACAAAACTTTAGCAAAAGAAAAGCTGAGAAACCGAAAGGTCGTTGACTTGAGAATCTCGAAATCAATGGTGCTATCTGATCACGTGTCGGGTATCTCTGCATCACATCCCTCCTGACTTCCTCCTGCTTTGTCCCATGCAGGAGCAGTATGGAGGTGCTGAGCGGCCCCTGGGCGGATCTGGCCCTGCTCCTGCGACAGACCATCATGCAGACAGACAGAGCGACAGACAGCTTCATTCCTCTGTGGCTCTTCGCCCTGATGCTTTTCCTGTCTGTCTCTCTGCTGCTGCTGCAACTGATAATCTATCTCAGCTGGAAACTCAGACAGGGTACGCATCGTTATTAACTTTTCATGACTCGTCCACGTCCAGACAACTTGCTATGTTATATTCACAATGCAGCCGTGTTGAGTGGATGCAGTGAGGAGGAGTCATTGTGCAGGGCTGCACACTATAAATACACACACTCATCCCAACATCATAACAACTTCTGCATAAAAATGTGCAACTTCATAATCTGTTCTACAAAGAGGAGATTTTACACTTTGCGTTATTGCTTGTTTTGTCCACAGAATGTTTCTATAGCAACATAAAACACGAAGTCCATCAACGCATCTGCAAACACACGCACAGACGACCAACTGTGTCTCGTCAGCTCATGTTGTCTCCAAATGTCTGGCTTTCAAACTAAGGTTCACTCTAAATAATGAAAAACTTTCAAAATAGGCAAAAAGAACAAAAAGAATTTAGCAAAATGATTTCTGCTGTGTGTCTAAGTGTGGGTACGTGTGAGGGTGACTGTGTGTTGGGGAGAGCTACTTATTTTCTGCATCTCTCCGTGTTTGTGTGTTCTGGAAGCTCGACCCTTTGCTCTTAAGTTCAAATCCTGAAAAGGTCACGGCTCCCCTGATATCATCAGTTCCCGTTCTCACTGCATATATGGAACTAAAAATCTCTAGACTTTATTTAGAGAAGTTCCAATTAATGATTGAAAAAATAACAATAAATTATAATATATAACAAATCACAGCCATGTTTAGTTCATGGTTTGTTCTGAAATCTGCTTATATACCTCAAAGGTGTGTTCAAGGTTATAATGACTGTGTCACCATCAAGACTAGTTGGCATTTTAAATCCAAACTATAATGTCTGGTGACATTCTATATTTTCATTTTAAATGTTGATACATCCCAAAAACAAATAACTAACAGATCCCACTAATAACAAATGATTATCTGCATCTGAAATAGCTCATTCCTTTGTGCCACAAACCACCATTGTTGTCCACACATTCCTAAAAACAGACTGTTTGGTCATTTGTTCCCTCGTTACCACGAACACCAGTTTATTTTCAGTCAGTCCCACATACTGCCAGAAATAGAAGAACACGAAACCTGCATTAATCAACATCTGAAAGTAAATCACCTAACAAACGATCCTGTTCGACGCATGTTTGCTGAGAACTAGTGTTTGACTGTCTCAGTAAATTACTTAACATTGTTTTTAAAGATTTGTGATGTCAGTCAAATTAACGAGCTGGAGGTTTGAGGGGGAGTTTTAGAGTGTGTGTGTGTGTGTGTGTGTGTGTGTGTGTGTGTGGTGGTTGGGGGGGCGCTCAACCATCTGCTGTTTCTGAGGCCAATTACAATCAGTTACAGCTAATCTCACACCTGCAGCTCCGTTTGTCGGTGGCACTCAAACTCAACACAAACACTGTACACGAGCACAGCACTTGTCCTCCTGTGGTTCAACAACGAGCACACAGCAGCTGAAGGTGCCTCTTCTGTGGCTGCCTGCTGTGCATGAATGAGTGTGCTGCATGTGAACAGATATAAGATCAGGAGCTTTCAGTGTCATCTGAACAACCTGGAGATCGTGGCAGGAGCATGGTGTAAGAGTCACTGAGGCTGAAGAGCTGCTGGGCTTTTCAGAACTGGTGTCCCAAAGTTTGGTACAAACAGATTCAACTGAAACTGAGGTAATGTCCCATTTCCACGATATTAATTCACTGAGTGACAACGATCATCTGTGACATTAGTTACTTAAAGGATCAGTGTGTAAGATTTAGGCGAAAGGGATCTATAGGTAGAAACTGCATATAAAATAATCCTAGTGATGTTTTAACTGATGTGTTTCATCTAAATTGTATGAAATGTAATTATTTATTATATGAAAATGTTTCTTTCTTTATCCTTGAATGAGCCTTTATATTTAAATACTTTATATTTACATCAGGAGGAGGTCCTCTCTGCAGACAGTCAAACTAAACACCTTTTGAGTTTTCATGACTGAGGTCTACCACAGGTTCTCTCTCATGTTTGGAAGGGGAGGGTGAGGTGAGGGGTATTAAGCTGCTACATGCAACTTCGCCACTAGGTGTCACTAGATTCTACACAGTGAACCTTTAAAACTGCCACATTTCGATGAAGAGATTAAAACACACGGTATCACTTCAAGCACTTTCTATTTCCATGCTTCCCTTTATCCCCACAGCCAGACCACCTTAAAAAAACCTTGTGTATGACTGTCACTGAGCTACCCCGCATGTGGTTTCTACCAATATTCTGATTTCTCAATCCTCCTCTTTCTCTCATCCCCTCAGTTGAAGATGATCAGTCGGGATTTCTGCAGAACAGAAGCGCCATCAACAGGCAGATGTACAGAACTACAAACCTGAGGAACAGGAGCGCTGGCTCCCACTCACACACCTGACCGGACAGACTCTTCTGGAGATATGGACATATCACTACATTTCAGTAATAAACCTGACTGAACTGCCTTAAACAGTACGGAAGCTGAAGCCTGTGTAGAAGTCAGATGTGTGGAAACGTCTTGGAAAACCAAACTCACTGTCCTGGAGTAAAAACTCAGACTTACAAGTTCTAAATCACATCAGCCAATGTAATGAGTGAACGAGAGAGGTCCAATGAGAGTATAACAATCCTTTATTCAAACAGTGTTACACGGGGGAGGAGTGGCTGTGTGGGGAGACACAAGACAGTTAAGCTGCTAGATAGAAAAACCCTACCAGTGATCATTGGTTGTGCTACGGGAGAGCAATGAGGGAGCGGGCTGCTTTTCCAAAATCTGTTTCTTTATAAAGTTTTGTTGAAAGTGAGTTTTTACTTGGTTATAAATACAAAATGATGCTGGTTTTACTTTATATTATCGCATTTGTCCAAACTGTTCAATAAAGCCTGAGATTGAATGTAGAGAATAGAAGCCAATTATAAAACACGTGTTCCATCTGACCACAATGTCGCTCCATAATGTTGAGCTCCCTGACCGTTTAAAAATCAGCTGGCGTAGAATCATGTTTCTTATCCATGAGTTCCATTATGGAGTTGCCGTGGTAACTACTGTCTTATGCAGCTTTTTTTTCCAACATTAAAATTACTCATTCATTTGTCAGTCTTTTTTTAATATTGTTTTCATCTCACGAGAAAGCACTACAAAACATTTTGGAAAAACCGACCTCGCAGCCCCAAAGCTCCTGTGATCGGACACATGAGAGCCCAGACGCCCGAGATGAGGCTCAATCTGAGGCTAAAAGCAAAAAAAATAAAAATTACAAAACATGAAATGGTGGCAGAAAATTTGATTTGTAATGGTGCTCCTTCAGTGATCCCACTAAAACACACTGTGACAATCTCATAAATATTCAACAGGGGGGGTTACAACAAATCCCGCCTTTCAACATCTAGATCAGTTTCACAGAATAAAAGAAAAATGATAAGAAAAAGCTACAAATGTTTAAACAGTGAAAGCTCACAAAGCTGCCCAGCGTTACACGTTTATTTCTTCTTCTGCCGCTTTGTCTCTTTGCAAGAGGGTTCGAGGTTAAAGGTTCGCCCTCATGCGGAATGTCATTGGACTGCAAAGCAGAGGTCAGACTGGTGTTTCCCGGCCTAGACTCTGTCGTTACCGCTCCGTCATCTGGATGAGATTTGAAAGGATTTCAAATTGAGAGATACATGCAACTTCAAATGAGGAAACTGAGTCAATAATTCTTCCCAAATGCCGCTTTATCCAGAAAGGAGGGGTCAGATAAATCTAGGCGAGTCCAGGTGGAATGTTTTTGTAAATCTGTACCACTTCTTTGTTCACAATCGTTCAGGTTTTGCAGAATTCTTTTGCTGTGTCAAACTAAACGCAGCAGACCGGGTTTCTCGGTCATACCCATTTAATGCCACCAATATTTATAACACAGTCACATTTTTGTGGAATTCAGATGAACATGTGGGTGAAAAGGACACAGGAAATGAATAAAACATTGTAAGATTCCATTCAGGGGGTTCCAAGAGCACTTCAAACCCTCTGGTACACTTCCCTTTCAGCTGCGTGTTACTGACGTGTTGTAACTGTTTCCGTGTGTATCCGTTTGTGTCGAGCAGAGGGAGATTCAGAGTGTTGTTTGCGTGGAGTACAAATGTAAATCTTGAAATTGAAACATATAAAAATCACATTACCACAGCAGAATTATTTGGTTGCGGTGAAACAGTTACATCACAGCGAGCACCACGTCGAGGATAAACTTATCTAGACTTGCTGTATGAGCCGAGATAATGTTAGCTACACACTCTCAAACCAAGCGACACAGTGGCCTTCTATCTAAACTCGCTCAAAGGTAAAAACATGAAGAGATGGGGATTCGAGTTCCAGGTCTTGTTACGTCTTGCAGGTTTTGTCGGTATGTAAAAAGAAGCTGGGAGTGAAATTAAGTGCTGAGCTGCGACGACAAACAGGCTCTGATGCAGAATGAACCAACTGGTAGAAATTTCATTATTCTGGATTCGGCACAGAAACTGGTTTCAAGTTGTTCCTGCTGTGTGTCCTCATTTTGGTATAGAATATTAAAACAGCTTTAACTCACTGCAGGATGCATAAGAAAACGAAATCACATAAAAAGTGGCTGACAAGCATCAGTGTTCAAATTGTCTTTCACTCCCGATTAGACGATGCGCGGCGCCACCTCTATCTCCCAATTATCCCTCGGTCCACTGGTCCTCTCTCCCAATCACGCATCAGTTTACTGCTCCCCTGCGGCCCAGCAGGAATGGTCAGTGTCGTACAGTGGGCGGGCCCAGGGAGAGCGTTTAGCTAATTAAAAGCTGGATTACTGCTCCCATATAATAACCTTCATTTACTTTTACTGTACAGAAAGTTATATACACCAGAGTTTAAGTCAGTTCACTTTCAGTTCTTATTTCCTTTCAGTAAAAATGTATTATGAACATCTAACGATCCAATTTAGATTCATTCACCTACTGTAAATGTTAAAATGTCTCCTCTTTCCGAGTTGAAACTGAAAGTGAACCGACTCAGCCGCCGGTCGACACACAAGGAATGTGGATGAAAAAGAACAAAACTTACAGAACAAAAGACAGAATTATTTAAAAAAGAAAAGAATTGGTTGTTTTTTTAATGCGATATTTTACGCTGCAGCTCCATATTTTCTGTAATTATTAGTAACAAAATGTGATCATGTGACACAGTTGATTTCTATCTGACTCTGACCGTGAATGTGTTACAATGAGTGATACGGTTTGTTGGTGTTGTTTTGAAAGAAAGTTAAAAACCAAGTTGTGTCTCTGTGTTTTTCTTGCAGTCGTGGTTGCAACTGTAAAATCTTTAGAAAGGACTGAGTTACATTTTGTTACTCACCACTTAAAGATGTGAGGGAGGGAGCTGTAATTTCTCAAATCACTTTTTCTTTGTTTAGGAATGCACCTATACCACTTAAACTCTGCTGATACAGATTCCAAGCACAGAACCTCAGTGTCAATTTACTTTTAGGAAAAGAAATTAAGAAAAAGATTTTTTTTTTTTTTAAACTGTCTCCATTTGAAATCTTCCTGTTTGTAGAAATATCTCAAATTTGCTTTGAATCTTACAGCTTCATTGAAGGTCACTGGTACTGGTGAAATATTCAGTACAATGATAAAGTATTTTAGCTGTGTCTCACCAGGACTAGTTGTCAGTGCATCCCTAAAAATTCTAGTTTTTGCAATATGTGACAGACTCACTATCTTCTCTCATTTTGTAAAACAAATCAGTTAAACAAAAAAAAAAAGCTCTATTAAAAAATGAAAACATGCTACAAATGTTAATCTAACAAAGTGGTTCTTTTTTGTTCCCTCCGGAAGAGGGAGGAGATGATTCTTTTTCTTTTAAATGGTTTTTGGAGTGAGGGATTCAGATGCACCACAGACATGTTAGAAAAGACTGGTGACTTCTCTCCAACCGTCTTTCTCTTCCTCGGGTTCTTCAGCTCCTCCTCTTCCGTCAGTCAAGGTCGGTCGTCGTCGGGTGATGAAGGTCGTTCAACGTCAACAGAGGAAAACAGTCATGATGGGCCCTTCAGCTCTGGGAGAATAAAAGTTGAAGGCAATCAGAGTTGGTGTTGTGGTGCTCGGCACTTAACGTTAATGTAATTTCCCATTTTAAATATTTATCTTGAACTAAAAACAGACAAACACAGTCACGTCCTGAATGTAATATCTGCTTCTTCCCTGATTTCCTGTTTGATGATTGGCTGATGGTTTTAGCAGCTTCACGTGTATTGATTTCTGTTTCATCTCACCTTTTTTCAATTTTTGTCTTTAGCAAATAAACCCCTACAGGCACATACACACTTGAATATCTCCAAAATCACCTTCACCATGAATAATAATAATAATAATAATCAGCTACTATTATTATTATTACCTGAGTTCAGTCAATCCTCCTCCTCCGCCAGTTCAGTTTCTTTATGAACCACCACTCTGGTAACAGACATGTCAGGATGTTGCTCTTTGGCCTCCTTAATTGCCTGGGCCAGTGCCTGCAGTACCAAGAGGCAGCCACATTGTGGCAGCACCGAGCACAGCAAGCAGTGAGGGGGAGGTGGAGGAGGGAGAGGAGATGATGGAGTTAAATGAAAAATTAAAAAAGAAGCATTAAAAAAATGACAAAAAATACTGGATTTACAATGAGTGTGCGTCATTTTACTTCTTGGGGTTAACTGGGATGTAAATTGTATGAAGTAAAATGACTTCAGATGGAGCATCAAGGGGAAAATAAGGATTTCCAACTTGATGTGACACAAATCTGTTGGTCTTGTGTAAATCCAGCAAATAAGAACAGACATGCAACTTAAAACAGCGGATGAGGGATCATGCAGATCCAAACCTGGGCAAAAATAGATAAAAAGAAATACTTTTTCAAATATTTGAAATATTCTGATGGTACTACATGAAACCTGGTACCACAAACCTCTAGTTGAACAGGTAATAACATAAGATGTTCTTTTTTTTTCATCCCACAACAGGGTATAGAGTTTTTGGCACGAGTCAAAGTCCCATTAGTGAAATCGATATCAATTGATCATCACTTTCAAATATCTAGAGGTGTAGAAACGTGTTTTATCACATCAGAGACAAATATAACAATGAAGGCCAGAACAGTCTGTATATGAACAATGTGACACTTTGTTTTGAGTGTTCACATTCATATCAGGGGAACATGGTTGACTATGGGGGGACTAGAAGAACTTATCAGAATGTAAACATCCTCAAAAGCTGAAAGTCTGCACTTGGACCTCACGGTCACTGTTTCATTTCAAATCCTCACAGAGTGTTGGGCTCGTTGGGCTGCACTAACTCAGTTGTCATCTCCTCCGTGTAGCTTAAGCATGTAGCATTTTTATCAGTAAATATTTGACTTTCTCACAGGAAAAGACTCAAATTAACCAAAAACAAGCAAAAAAAACTGTAGCAAAAAAAAGGTTACAACAGTTTTCTCGACATATGGATGTGATGGAGGTGAAGAGACTGATGAGGCAGCCAATGAGTTATGACTTGCAGGCATCTCTCTGTTAAGTGGATAATAAATTAAATTGTGCAACCAGATTGCGAGCAACATGATCAACATGATCAACATGTGACCAGATGTGCATTTGATCCTTTCGGTCTAAGCAAGATAAGAACCTCTGGAAACCAAATTAAAATAGACTGACAGCAGTCATTAGCAAACATCTTCCTTGTTTCCCTATCACCAATTTATTCTAAGAAAAGAAATTCCACATCGAAGCTGCAGAATCTGGAGGAGCAGCTGATTCCATACCACACACACACATCTGGACAGAATACAGGGACCCACAAACCAAGCTGCTGAAACAGCTGGGTGATCAGATGTGTGACTGAGATCTGACCTGGTCGTGGTCGATGTCGCAGTCGCCGGTGATGACGATGCGTTTCTCAATCCTCGTCTCTGATAGGCCACCCTTTAATGTCTGGAAGAAACATTTACAGCAATGCTTTGATATCTGACACGATGGACTCTTTAGGAACAGTCAAGGCTGACCTGGGTGCAGCTGAGACACAGCTGAGACTCGAGCATTGTCTGCAGAGTCGAAGAAGTCAAATCAGATTAAACAATTATCGGATTTGAGAACAGATGTGTGCACCACTGCTTAACCAATACAGATGAGGGCACAGAACACAAAGCATGAATACTGTATTAGGGTACCATTACACAGCCTGCACAGTTGCCATGGAGATCTATAATGTAAAGTATCCTAAACATGATTTTAAAACGAGTAAATGTCTTTGTAGTTGTATTTTTCTGAAATCTTCCTGCCAGTCCACTAGTAAAATGTTCAGAAAATGTCAGTGAGCCCAAGTGAGAATATTATACAGCAGGAAAATGTCTGGAAATATTCCAAACAAGCTAGTGGGCATGTTGATGACTCACGTCAGAAGCAAAGCTGCAAAATACAAATATCTCAGGATAAAAAAAGAGGTGGCATACATGTGGAAGACAAAGATGTCAACTTGAAATGATGAAGAAATTCGAGAGTGTTTGATGATAAGGACCAACGCTGGTGTCTATTTGCTGTAAACAAAAACATGTGATATCTGCAGCGAAGTTCGTACATCATGTCCTCTCTCCTGCAAGCTCTACGCAGACACCCCCCCTCGCCTAAGTGTTCTGGACACAGTTTTGTTCTGAACAAGTCTGACACTGACAATTTCTTTATCTTTATATGTGAAAGAAAAACTCTGGAAAATGTCCTCACTCTATTTTCTCAACAATTGTGGAGTCTGGAGCTTTTATACAAAAATCTTTATAGAAGTTATATTACATCTACAACTCTGTAATAATTAAATGTCATAATGACATTTGTCCAACAGAAATGTGTGTGTTTGTAGTTGTGTACCTTGGTAATGTGCGTGGTTGTAGTAGTACACAGAGATTCAGAGGTGATAGTCTGAGCAGTCATCAATACTCCAGGCTCACCGTCGCCGTTACCATCCAGCTGATAACAGGGAGACAGAAAGGAACAATTAGACTGTAGATACACACCCGAAAATCCCTTTGAGGAATGAATGATGGCGGCATGCACTGTTGCTAGAAAAGAAGAACTTTAGAACATTATTATTAATAAGCTTTAAATATATAATCAGGTCTAAATGATACACACAAATACAACATGAACTCTGAATGCTAACACACGCACAGACACAAATGAGGAGACTAAAAATAAAAGCTCCCTGTGGTTCGTAAGTGTGCACCTGTGCGGCTTCGTAAGTGATGGTCTTGGTTTCCGTATGTACGATGGGCACTTCTTTTGTAGCTATCTCAGTTTTCTGGGCTGCAAACGTGTCTGATATAGTCACCATTTCTGTCTTTACCACAGGTGGCTAGGGAGGGAGGAGAGAGAGACGTGAGGGGGGAGGACAAAGGGTTAATATTAGAGCTGAGACAGTTAAGGAAACAAAGAAACATGTCTGTAGCTATGAATTTAGCTAGAAATGTGTACTTGATCATCATTCAATTAACTGTAGTTGTCAATTACATTAGAATTCCTTGTTTTGAAAGGGAAGTGCCATGTAACAGTGGCACAGAGCAGTGGATGTAGATATATAAACACAGCATATGCAAGTGAATGCGGCAAACTTCATGCAAGAAATCAAGAGCTCCCAAATCCACACAACGAAACTGAGAATACGACAGCATCTATTTAACACCAGGTAAGAGCAACAGCTACAACAGCAGCACGACTACATTAATAACAATCTTTGGTGTCGACATGCAGCTCAAAGGACGACACGGCACGAACATGCATAAAACATGAGCCGACAACAAACGACACTCGAGTGGCTGGCAAACAAGCCGGCAATTAAAATGTAAACAACATGCAAAAGATGACATTCAAATGGGCGGGTTGGCATTTCCAAAGTGTTTGGCGATGACGATTTCCTACAATGCTGTTGCCGTGGTGACTGGGACAAGCCAATTAAAACGCCAACAGAGATAGAGAAGCGTCACCGTCAAAGCACACGGAGGACACACACAAACACACACATGCAAATGCAAACACCAAAAAGGTGAAATACAGCATGCAGAAGAATATTCCATCTAAAAGCAACATGCATTTCCACACTTAGGCCCCATTTACTTCACAACACTACATTACAATGGAGAGTAGGAGGCGGTAACACGTCACACTGTGCACAGCAGGACTGGACTATAATGTAGGAAATAACATGAAAGATGATGATAGTGGATGACTTTAAAATATATGAATATGATGAAAATCAAAATAAGAAATGAATTATGTAGCGTGTGATATCTCGACGCCAACGGTGGTGGTTAATTGTGTATTAACAATTATCTTTTGTCTGATTTACTAGGATTTGACTGTGACTTCTAAAGAGGATGCATTTTCACAGGACAGAGATGAGTGTGAGGATGTACATGGGGCTTAAATATTCACACAAGCAGGAAGGAACACCGGCACTGTGGAAAGCAGGAAGGAGAATAACCAATTGGGTGTTTCTACAGTTGGCAGGAGAGGGTCAAAGCCCAGGGAAGCTCCAAAGCCGGCCCAGTGAAGACTTTACCTCAGAGCAACAAATAACCTGTGGCCGGGGTTCTGCTTCAACCAATGAGGCTTGTCCGTTCATTTTGGGCTCGTCCTCTACTTCAGCGTGGGTGGCCAACCCGCTCACGGCTTCCTCAGTCGGGGAGAAGCCATTAGGAGCCTCGTTGGTTGTTGTCATCGGATCGTCTGTGCTTTCCTCCGCCTCCTTCTCACCTTCTTTCTCCTCAGCGTTCTTGTTCACTGCCTCTGACTCCTCTACCGCTCGGCTGGTTTCTTCTGCAGGCTGAGTGATTTCAGCCGGCGTGGAGGAAACTTCTGGAGTATCCTGCTCCGTCGTCTTGTCCTCCTGTTTGTCAACCTGCTCTTCCTCCTCTTCTTCTTTCTCCTCCAGTATTTGTGTATGAGAGATGGACACAGGGACATTTGGGTGGTACTCTGCTTCTTCCTCGCTCTCGCTTTCAGATGAAACGCTCTCCTGCTTCACCGCTTTAGCTTCCTGTGTCACCACTACTTTTTCCTCAACCTTCACTTCCTGTTCTCTTGTTTCCTGGTCTGTGGTTGGGACAGCAGGAGAACTGGTTGTAACTGTGACAAATCCGGGTTTGGTTGCTTTGGAAACCTCTTCCACGACAACGGTTTCTTCGATTTCGACTTCGGCCGTCTATACACACGCACATACACACGCACGCATGTACACATAGTGCACGATCACACATGCACACAGATTGAGGTGCGCACACATACACAACAAACGCATGGAGACAAAAACAAAAAAACATAACATGATCATTGAACATAAAAAAACTCAAAACTCAAAATAAACAAATACCAAAGCAACTCAGCGATAAAAACGATGAAGATGTTCAACTGTAGACAAGTAGACGTGAAAATGCGAGAACATGTATGAAAACAGACAAATGAAAAGCCAAGGGATGGATGGCTGTAGGAAGAGGAGGAGATCTGAAGCTGTAAGTGAAAAATGAATGAAGGCATGAAGAAAACGTTGGATCGATGGAAGGCTGGATGGATTAATAGAAGAAAGTTAGGACCACCTTTGCAGGTTCTTTGGTATCAGAGATCGAACTATCAGCTGCAGCCGCTTCCACATCGGGCACATTCACCTGTGTGACAGGGAGGTTACCATGACAATCATCAATCAAACAGCAGCAGTGACATCATCAGTGTTAGCAGTTAGTTATAAGATGATGCTCATTGATCAGAGCATGGGGATTGGGTCGACATTGTTATTTATTCTCCCTCTTTGTCTCATGCACAATCATGTTCATTTCCATACAGTGTCAGGTTCATTGCAGCAGGCAGTAAAGAGCAGATGAGATAAAGAACAGAAAGGAGAATAGAAAATGAAAAAATAAGATGGACTGAAGTGAATTTCCCACAGAAAAACTCAGCTTCACTTATATAAAAGCAGAATTGAAGTCAGCAATGTCTTCGATTGGCAAAAAAAATAATATCATGCCATAATAAATTTAGGTCAAAGTCCACACTTTACAGCGTCTTGTGAGCTATTTTAAAAGCTCATGTAAATACATTACGGGTCCTAATGATGGAAACTGCTGCTTCAATCCCTGCTGCTTTTAGCACTTTTTTTTGTTTTTTTCCTGAAGATGCCAGTGAAGCAAAGATAAGAGCACAGAGCAGACCGTCACATTTACATTCAGTCCACACACATTGGCCTCCACTAAACAAACACGTGACAACCATGTCAGCCGCATCTGTTAGTTGTTTTTGAAAGGCATCCTCATGCCCATTCTGCATCCACAGTTCATTCAGAATGAATGGCCTCTGATACAGAACAACATCTATCTACAGCAGGCGTTGTTATAAAGCATCTGTTCAAGCATCCTCAGGTAAAAGAAGCATTGCAGGATGTCAGATTACTTTCATGGCAATCAATCAACATATGAAGCAGATAAAAACTGTCTGTGAAATGATGCTTCATGACTGATTGATCAAAAGATTAGTATGTATGGATTGGAATGAAAGTAAACAGAGTCCTAAATGCTCAGCAGCAGCACCTCAGTGGCAGAGAGCGCAGTGGTGGTGGAACGTGTGGTAAGAGCAGCATCTAGTGTCAGTTCAGGGGTACTGCAGAGAGCGTCAGCCGCTGAATAAAAGCCAGTGCATGAGTGTCTACTTAGAAGTACAGAAGCTATCTCCTCTTCAAGGCTCTACAGCAAAATACAAACAGACACACACACACATACACAAAAGGGAAGAACAAACAAAGAGAAGTAGAAGACACAAAAACACAGTGTGATATACAGCGAAGTACAGCACAAATAAAAGAAAGCGCAGCCGTGCACATCTTATGTCTATATTAAGAGAGAGAGAATTAAATGAGATTTGTTTAGGAGAGCAAAGTAGAGACTCAGCAAAATACACAGGAGAATAAAAACAATGTATGCTAGAAAAACTCCATTGAAAATGAACCCAGCAGTTAGGATGGTTTTATAGGGAGAATTCCCACAGAAGATTAAGTCAGTGGTTCTCAACCTTAATGAGTCACGACCTTCCAATATAATCAGGGTTTTTATATATATATATAAAATGCACCCCCCCATGCCCCGTCACTCACTGTTGTCAGTGCAGTGGACAGGCTGGGTCGTTGGTAACACCACACAAGGCTGAGCTGCGTTTCTCTGCACTGTATTCCCCCCCAATTCTCAGCCTCATGATTACATTGTGCTCAACTTGCTGGATGCTCAGCGTCAAAGGCATCAGAAGAAAGTTTCTCTGTGATGCTTGAAGCCAATTTCACAAAATGAAAGACTCTTTTTTTGTTTTACTCTTGGGACACCAATGGGTGATTGGGGCCCCCAGGTTGAGAACCACTGCATTATGAATTATGATCAAGAGGTCATGGAAACCACTGAGGCAAAAGCATCAAATATAAAAAACCAAACACGAAGAAAAAAAAAAAAACTTCCACTGCCAAAAGAACTCCAAGGTATGATCAATTATCCAGGTTAAGAGAGAATAAGGACACAACTGCATGGTGTAATGAAATTGATTAAGAGAAGAGGAATTTTACATGTTTAAACATGCATGATCACACATGTTCCTCCAGTTGCACAGAATGCATGGTTGTTTGTTTGCAGCAAAATATGACAACATAGATTACGAATCACTGCAATCCACTGCAAAATAGCCTGAAACAAGCTCAGCAGGGAAGATGCTGTGTAACTCAAGTTGCCGAGACAAACATTCAGACGGACATACCACTTGTTGCTGTTGAATACGTATTGCTGTGGCGGGGGAGGAGGTGAGACGTTTCTCCCACTGGTTGAGCTGAGGAGGAGAGGGAGGTGGCGCCTCCATAAAGGAGCGTTTTAGCTGGCTAATGCTAGCTTGATGTTTCAGAACCTCGTCTTGGGTCTTATCATGGTCCTAATGGGTGGGGGGAGGAATAAGGGGGGAGGTGGGGTAAGGGAGATGAAGAAGGGGATAGAGAGGGAGTGAGATGAGTATGGTTGAATGAGGGAGTGGTAGGGATGAGGATGGGATAAAAATGAGAGATGTGGGGCAGAGATGGGGAGGGAAAGAAGGTAGGAACAGGTGGAAGATGGATGAAAAAGAGAAGAAAAGAGTGATGAGTAAGAAATGAGTAGAAAAATATGAAAGGAAAAAAAAAACAGTGTTGAAAGTATGGATGGGAGAATGAAATAAGAAATGTAACGGTAAAAGGAATAAGGAAATTATGGATGTAGGGAGGGAGGGAGAGAAAACAGGTGGGAAGGAGAGGGAGAAGGGGGAGGGGAAAACTTTGGTTCAACAGGACACAGGAACATTAGTCTGTCAATCACAAGGGAAACAAGAAAGATGCCATGTCTCAATGCAGCCTCGAATTAACTCTTAAATTTGACCTTTAACATGTATTGTGTTAAAGTGTGTGTATGTTTAAACAGGCTGCAGTGAAGCAGAGCGCCGCCATCTTGTTGAGGTGTCTTTCCTTCAGTCGGTCAGAACATGGGGTTGATAGTGGTGACCACCTGCTCTGTCTCTCTCTCCCTCACTGTTGTCTTTATCCATTTTTTTCATTTGCCTCATAAACTGTATATAAAGATGGACACCATTACAATTTCCCAAAAGTGAAGCCATGTTATCGTGATTGTCCCCCTGGTGGCTAGCTGCAGTATAGTACATATTATAGTACTGCTCCACATGACGTCCACAGTGCAAGATGGCCAAATCTGTGCCTAGGTTATTTTGGCTTCAGTTTTGTACAATGGGGGGAAATGGAGATGCGTCGTCCATCTTTAAATAGTCTCATCTCCATCGTTGTTCCTTCTCCTTGGTTCCTGTGCTCTTTCCTCTGCCCCTCACAGCCTTACTCTTGACTACAAATACTTCTCTTGAGCAGACTGCATCCTGATCAAGAAGTTATATAGGTGAACTGAATCCCCACATTGATATGAATTTTCCTATTTTACTCTTGTAATGCTGTCTTAAAAATATACTGGGTTTAGACCTCTAACCTCAGCGCGTACTATCGAGTACTACATGCCATGTAGGCTACTGTTCTCCTACAAAGACCATACCATCTAGTAAAGCATCACTATCAGTCCCATGTTTCACACAATTATATTTTGTTGTTGTTGTTTTAGTAAGTTATCAAACCACATGTCACACAATGCTAGCAGCCAATCACCAGAAAAGAGGAAGAGAGCTCCTCACACATGTTAGGGAGGCAGGATTAGTCAGGTTAGATGCAGCTGCCTGGAAATAATCAAACTCTTTGAAAACAGTCAAGGATTGGAAACACATCGAGATAAAACTGTGACAAAACAGCATTCAACATGCAAAGAGCATGCATAAAAGTCAAGTTCACACACATACACACACACACACATACACACACACACGCACACACACACACGCACACCACTGACCCATTTCACAAAGCAGCCACTGTGAACACTAAGGCAGGGAAATATCCGGAGGAGCTAGTCTATCCTTTACTGTTGTGTAACAAGATACACAACAAATATGTGTTTTGAATTTTATAGACTTGATAGAGAAAATAACTTAGTTCCCATGTGTTAGGGTTAAGTGCTCCCATCCCTCAGGGAACTTTGGTTATATACATAACCTCCAGTTAACCTTCTTGATCAAATCAATTTTAAAAAATGCCTTTGTTGATATGTGGTTGATTAAATCTACATGAATTTTTTCTTAAGTCATGACAAGTCAAGACAGAACTCCACGACCAGCTAAAAACCATTTCATGACATATTAAGACATTGTAATGTTGGTACAGCTAACTCCAGCTGTATCTCCATAAACCTTTGTTTGACAAAGTTAAATTCAACATTCATTATCCCCCTGGCTCTTTTTGTTGTTATGTTAACATGTGTTTTATATATTATATTTGGAAACATTCCTGTTTAATTCTCTAGCCCACCTGTGCAGAATGGCTGCCATGTGAATTTTAATCGGGACAATCACAACACATTTTTAAATTACAAATGACTAAAAATGTTCAAATAGCTGGAATTGATTGTAGACCTGATGAACAAACATCCACACGCATAAACCCACACATGCATGCACACAGAGCTTGAGAGTGCGAGAGGGCAGCAATCTTGTACAGAGGAAGTTGTAGTTCTGATGGCGTCAGAGTACACAGAGACATGTAGTTCTTATTTTCAGCCATCAGACGACGCCAGTACCAACCTCCAACATTAAATTACTGTGCCTCACATAAATATTGTCCCCATGCACTCTCAATGGACTCTGGAAAGGCAGACATACAGCAAAAAATGAAATGGAGAAAATTAATTTTAAAATCGAAATTAATTTTTTAGACTTTTTTTAAACTGTACAGATTAAAAAAAAAACAAAAGTTATAAAAAATAAATACAATTTATATTTATAAACTTAGAAAAAAATCCAACAAATAAATGGAGTCTAAAAAGGCAGACGTGCTGACCAGGCTGGAGGTACAAAAAACAAATGACAAACATATTGGTTTTCTGATGGTAATAAAATGGGATCAGCACTCGCACTCACGTTATTCAAAGCATTCCGAACACAAACATTTACACAAACCCCAATGTGCTTGCAGTGAACACCATTATACATTTCAAGCAGAACCACAGAAACGGACCAGAACATAAACTCTGTGAAAACAGAAAACAGCAGCAGAGCAACCCAAAGTGCAGATTTAAGGTGAAAGTGCCCGTTCAGGATCAGTTTTTATTCTCAGACCCAATCTGAAATCCACATGTGAAAGAAGGCTTACAACTGAACAGTCTTTTTCAAATGTTTAAATGTTGTTTTAATCCAGATTGGGTCTTTAGTAAGTGAGAAATTGAAAAACTGACTCAATGTGTTCGCATTAGGGCAACTTCACCCTGCAAGAGTGAATCAAACCAACAAACCAACCCACACAGGCAGAGCAAATGATTGACAGACCAAATACACAATCAAATAACCAATAGCAATGTATGAACCTGGGAGAGGATAACCTCATTGGCTCCAAGTGACTGTCGGTGGGTTAAAGTCAGGGAGAGAGTAAGGACAAGTTAGGTTTACCACACGTATGCTCCACTATTCACAACCATCTTAACACTCTTTTTTTTTTTACTGTTAAATATTTTTTTTAATGCATTTGCAAAGCATGCTGGGAGAAGACAGGCCCTACAGACCTGGGCAGATGTGGCTTCAACATCACCAGGGCTTAAGTCCACCTCCTTAACCTTCAGTGTGGTAGCCATGGAGATGGTAGTCATGACAAAATGGATATAGGGGCCCACAGAGAGAAAAAAATGTGAAATGGATAATGAAAACGTTCTTCCCCCAGCAACCTCGGCGTTAGGGACGCCTGCTGGTCATGTGGCTTTAGCACCAAACCAACAAACCCATTAAACATGTGAGGAGCACTGATGGGTCGATAACAGGAGACAGCTACTGACTGCTATTGTACTATATTTAAAAAGATAGTTTTACAGTCCGTTTTCAATTTATTTTCTTTTACTATGATACCAATTTAGAACATATTCAAAACCAGGTAACATTCACTGTATCCACGACAAGTAAAATGCTACGACACCAAGGATACTTTTTAGTGAAAGACCGTGGAACCATCTTATTGGAGCTAAGTGCAAAGTTATTTTTAGCAGAAGGCCAGCTTTCATTTCAAGAGACTTCTACTTAGTAACCCTGTATAAATGCCACTACACTTAAAACAATGCAAACAGGGGTTGAGGGGAGAACCACTGGGATTAGAGTGTAACACTGTTTACTCTTAAAATCATTAGCAACAATATACAAATTCAATACGCTTCACGGGGATTAGGGTCTTTATCTGTATGTACAGTTGCAACAGCGAATCTACAACTAATTCTTTCTCTACACTACAAAGGCCAAATGCAGCAACTGATTTTTTTGGTTTAAAAAGAGCATATTACCAGTAAATACCATTACATCATCTGATGAGCGCAACATTCATCTGCAGCGCAGGCAGGATACATTTTAAGCATGGAAACTATTAATGACTTATTTCAAGATATGAAAGTGGAAACTGCTCTCAAAATATGTTCTGCTTAACACTACATGTTATTGTATTTTGCCTATGTAACTTAAATTTTAAACTTTCACATTCACAGTCTCTGTATATTTACATCTATTGATATACTCTCTTATATAGCTATAATAACAACATAATTATAAGTTCTTTATTTCATTATTGGACATCTTATATTAACTCTTTATCTTCCTTATTCTATTCTTTGTTCTTCATTATAAACAACACAGTGGGGCTGGGAGGGCGGAGGGATGTAAAACAAAAGATGGTCAGGTAAAGGACGTGTCGGTGACAGATATAAAGTTAAGACATTCAAACATAGAGGCGGAGTGGGAGAGGGTTGGTGGGTGGGATCTCAGGTTGTATGAATGTGTTTATGCAGCAGGATCGCACATCTCTTGTGTCCAGGTGGCACTTGTGTGAGCGTGGTGCCTGATGCGAGGAGGCGTGTGCGTCAGAGGAGACGCTTGCCTGCCGAAACCGGAGCTTAACTGATCGTCAGCCTGATCATTCGACCGTTCAGAGACAAACCTTGGCAAAACGGCCTTCCGCTGACTGGAGACCATGTTCTCTAGGTAACAGAGGGTCAGGCCGAGGGGCGCAGCTAAGATCAGGGCCAAGACCAAAGACTGGCTCGCTGTCAGCATCACAACCAAGAGGAAGACGACTAACAGGCAAGGGAGGAACAGAGGGGAGGGGTTTAAAAGGTAGCGATGTACTGATGCTGTTAGTTTAGAGCGAGAGAAGGTGGTCAGGAGAGAGAAAAGGTAGGAGGTGAAGGAAAAAGAAGAGAGGGAGGAAAAGGATGAGACAGTCAGAGGACAAGTGAGAGAAGGCACTGAGGGCAAACGGAGCTGTGTTGGGTACAAAGGACAAGCTGGCACCAAACTGATGAACTTAGCAGGGAATTGACGAGTAAAAAGTGTCATGAAATGATTGCTTTTTGTTGCCACACTGTTAAGAATTTGATGTAATCGGGATGTCGTCATTTGGGGGAGACTAAGAGTAAAAATCTTTAGTTTCTCTGCAGACTGGTACATTAGCTTAGACACAGTCAGGGTCAAAAATCTCAGTTTCTTTAGTAATCCTGAAAATAGCTTTGTGGGCTGAAACATGTTTACATTCCTCCTTGACATGGAGAGAAAGCACAGGATGAACGAAACATATTTCACCACTCCTCTCAGAGAGAACCACATTCGCCAATTTGATGTTGCTCTGGTTTCAGCCTGGCAGCTCTCCTCAACTCCTGAAACCTCAGAAGTGCATGTTTGGGAGTTTGGGAATGGGCTAAAGGCTTGAGGGTTTTGTGCAAGGTGTTTAGAATCAGCCAATTGCTGTTCGGACGTGATGGAAGCGTAAGAGGGAGGGGCCCAGGGTGTGTGTGAGGCGGCCGTGTCGTTGATATGGTCGTCGTCTTCGGAGATGTCTGACAGGCCGTTGTCGAGCTCAGAGATGGAGTCGAGGGATGGGGGCATGGAGGAGAGTGAGGATGATGAGGAGAAGGAGAGAGGAAACATGAAGATTGACTGATGGAGGAAGAAACACGGGAAAAGAAGGATTCAACGAGACAGTGGAAGAGATCAAAAACAGCCAGGAGACATGGGAAAAAGACAAGAAAGACCCGTGCACACACATCCACGAAGTGAAGCAAGCAGCAATCAAGTGAAATATGTTAAAAAGAAAACATCCGATGTTCCATTTTCATGAAATGGCAAAAATGACGGCATGCAAGAGGGGAGTGAAAAAAAGCAAAAATAAATGTGTGGGGGAAAAAAGAGAGAGGGGAAGAGACATAACATTAGTCAGTGCACAGCACAACACAGTAGGTTAAAAGTGAACACAGCATAGTGCAGAGTACAGTTATGTGCAGAAACGGTGTCAACAGGGTACCGCCACTAAAGGGAGGTTTAGATAGCGATCCACAGTGCACAGGTGCTGGGGTGTAAGCGAGGGTGAGGAGAGGAGAAGGGAAAGTAGGGGGCGAAACAGGAGGCATGCATCGCAAAATGTTGTAATCCACATTATAGTCGTGTGCTGGGAACAGACTGGATTAGTTTAGGACTGGACACAGATCCTCAGTACAGGGCTTGTGAGAAGATCTAGAGATTTGCAGAGGTCTTGATTCATTGCTACCTTAGCTGCTGTAAAGACTGTAGCTTTAAATACTTAAATATGTTTTCTGTCAGTCTAGCTGGTCTGTGTTCCCGCTCCCATTCATGTATGTATTCACATATTAAAAACACAAAAGCCGAGGGTGGCTAGGTGTTCCACCTAATAGAGCGGAATCATGAGAAAACCGAAATGACCCAAGCACATGACTCTTGTCTTCACCATCACATAAAATAACCATAAGTCTATTTGATATTATGAAGTTGTTCATCGAAATAAATACAGATCGTCTCTCTGACACAAAAAGACGTAAGCAGTTCCTGTGGGAAAATGTGAACTCACTATAATGACAACAAATAGACAAACAAAGACTTAATATGCAACTTTTTTTTGGTCATGTTGTCCTGAAGACGCACATATTTACCCACACGTTGGATCCACCCTTTATGTACACGCACACACATATACACACACCCACACACACCTTTGAATCAGAGTGGAGCTCCAGGTGCAGCTCGCGTCCATTCTCAGCTGTGTCCCTGCCAGCCTCAGTTATGCTGATCATGGGTGCTGAAGGAAAATTAAATACACAAACGACATATATTAATAAAGACATCAGATCAGTATATTCCTTAACAATGATGATGCCTTGTAATGGAGTAAAGTGTACAGCAGGGGGCAATGTAAGACAGTGGAATAAATCATCAGATCACAGAAGTAGTAGCACACAGCTGCATGAGGTGGGATTTGTTGCAGGAATCAGGAAAACTACAAAAAAACTAAAATACAATAAAATGTGTGTTTGATATTTTGAAAACACTGATTTCAAGCATTATGAAATATATCAAGTATAATGACTCTGTAGAAATTAGGACGGAATTAGTCCCAGGTTTTTTGACAGCACATGAGATCACTTCTCAGTTATTTGTTAAGTTTGGAGTCATTACTTGTTGATTTCTGTCCGTCCTTTTTTTCCCCATGCTTCGAAATGTGTTAGCTGTCAGAGTGACAGAATGTCTTTCATTATAGGGGCCTCTTTCTTTGACAAACACATAACATTCTCTCTTTTCATTTCTTTCTTTCTCCTTCTGTCTCTCTAAGTGTGACAGGAAACATATGCTGCAGCTATTTCCTGTATCTGGTCAGACTGAGCATTTTACATCCAAACACACACACACACGCAACACACACACACACACACAAAATCCCTCCATCCATCCTGCTTCCACTTGCCCATCATTCCTTCCATTCCTCTTTCCGTCCCTCTGTCCATTCATTAAATATTGTTCAGAGCGAAGCTGGTGGAATGCCGTGTTTTGAGTGTTGCGTGAGTCTGTGTTACCTCCGTCCAGACTGCGGCTGATGCGTTTCGATGAGGTGCGCTCAAAGTTGGGTGCAGGTCGGTCTATGAGGGAGCTGGCCACGCGGGTCTGGGCCTGGGTACGTCCGCTGTAGCGGAACTTGGAGCCCAGAGTCAAGAAGCGGGCCTTGGTAGGAGGCTCTGGTGCGTTTAACCTACAGGGACCAGAAACAGATGGAGGAAGGAAAACAGAGATGAGGGAATACAATAGAGGTGAATACATTTTAAAACTTATTCAGTGATTTACTTTGCAATAACACTTGTTGCAGTTATGTATCCATGTGGAAGAGAAACAAAATATTCCCAGACAACGCATCCTGCAACAGGATATTAAAGCTTATTCCTCTCTCTCCTCCAAACACGTAGACAGAGCACACACTACAAACACAGCAACACAGCACTTATTTCATTTTTGTGTATTGTTGTGTATGTTTTGCTCCAAAGCATAAGACTTGTTTCAGTATCACAAACACAAGACTGTAAATCTCTAAATCCATGTCCATATACAATACATGTGTTCTTCATAGTGCGTGTTTGCATTTCTACCTGAAGAAACTGTGATTCTCAACGCAGACTTTCCACAGCTTTTTGGCAGATCGATGGTTCTGGAGTTTGAATCCCACCGTGCTCTCAAACTGCTCCGTCTATCGAAGACACAAATGAGAAGCCAGAATCAAGACATTTTTACGCACCATAGGAAAAAAAAATTATCTGGAGTTACAAAATGTCTGGAAAAACTGCAGCAAGCAAGTGGGCGTGTTGATGACGTTTCTACCACACGGTAGACTCTAAACTGAAGAAAAAACAACATTATTCTCAATGCATGTTCTACACAGGTGCCACACCTCGCCTGAATCTTCCTGTTAATGTGAACACGTCTGACCCGGACAATCTCTGCATTCTTCATATTCAAACTCCGGAAAATGTCCGGATCCAATTTTCTGGTGTTCACACATAGAATCATTTGTTGCTGCAGTCAGAACTCTGCATTCACAGCCTGTGTTTGCACATGTGTCTGGTTACACACCTCTCCTGGTCTGATCTTGATGTAGAAGTTGTTCCTCTTGTAGGAAATCTTAAGTATTTTGGGCCAGGCAAAACGATTTATCCGAAGTCTGTCTTTGTAAACCAGGAGTCCGTTGGCACACACACCTAGCATGATGTCCACACCTTCAGAATCCTGGAAAAAAACAGATCAAATGTACCTTAAAATTATTATATTATAGTAATATACTAATAATAATATCTTGATTACTCTTTTAATCAGATCATACCATACAGCAATTGATTTCTAAAGTAGTCTGCTTAAAGTCAACCCCACCCACCCACACAAACTCTGTTGTGCAGCACAGTAACACAGCAGACTAGCTCACTTACAAAGCTTTTAAGTCCAAAGCCATCTGGTAATGGTAAGGGGGGTTATTGATTATAGTGGTGAATGAACACAGGAAAAATCTGTTGGACTAATGGTGGAGGCAATATGTTGGTAATGGACTGTTTTACTGGGACATACAAACATGTCACATGGCCTTGCCATGCTATTAGCCGCTCATCGATCTCTGTCCTCGAGCTTTCACTACAGACACATTTCAGGACTCAGACTGGGACACGCTGACAGGATGCATGTAGTAGTAAACTATTTTCCATTTGCTTTCTGTTGTTTCAGTGAATAAACAATGACTCTTCAGTGACTGCAGGGAGAAACGTGGTGTTTGAAGCTGATATTACTGGTGATCACTATCGCTGGGTCGCCCACTTTGGAAGAGTGCCTCGGTTTTTAAGGTTATGCCAACCATCTGCTACAGACGCTGCATTTGTCCAATATTACTCAACATTTTATAGGAAAAATAAGGTGGCAGCCATCAACTGTTGTCACAATGCAGGTTGACTTTACGCAGACAATCATGAATGGCTGAAATGTGTCAAACTCCCCTTTTCATATATACAAAGAAATTAATTTGCGTGATTCTGATAATTTTTTTAAAAATATTTGAAAAAAATTATTTTGGGATTTCAGGGGGCTATCAAAGTAGCCCAACAAATTAATGGTGCATGACAGAAATGGATCTGCTGCTTGAATTCCCACCACATCGGTATGCTATAAAAAAAGATTTTCAACTTTTCAAACCCTCTCTGTGCTGCTGCCTCCACTTTTCCTCTGGTTCTCTGTGCTGCAAACAAGTGGAGCATGTCCTTAAAGGGGACTCGCCTCTTTCTGTCTTTAAAGGATCTGTCCCCATCTAACTATACCTCTCTGTGTACCCCGTTCCTTTGCCTCCTCTCCATGTCTTCAATCCCACATCCTCTCTTTCTATTTAAAGACTCCTCTCCCTTTCCCTCATGCATATTTACCCATCTTTTTTGCCCATCCTGCACAAAGACACACAAACATACTCAGACACACATGGAAAAAATGCACGCTCTCTGTGGATGACCTGCTATCCCAGTGAGAGAGACTGAGTGTTCCCATGGCAATGGCCTGCCTAAGTGTTTGCACAGCTGACGCACACACACACACACACACACACACACAAAGATACTGTGACACAGACGTTCAGACACACCAGCAAACTTGTCCCACATCAAAGAAACTTAGTTAATCCCTGGGTGTCAACAGAGAGAGGAAAGGAGACGTAGAGGTAGAGAGGAGAGAATTCATCCATACTTTAGCATGGTGTAGGTCCACCCCGTACATGGATAGTTTCTTGGCATTTTCTAGAAACTGGGCATCAGCCTGTGCAGGTGTCATTCCCCTAAACACACAGAAAGGACACTGCATTACAAACACTGAGATAATAAACTTGCACAGTAGTATAAATACATAATGTTCAGATTACACAGTAAATCACTTTACTACTGGGTTTACAGCTTTTAACGATAAAGAAGACATGGTTAACTCTGTTGGAATGCATGACTGTGTCCTCTCTGACCTGTGAGACTTGTGGAGTTCAAATATCTTCTCCTCCATCTCTTTGTTCTGATTGGGCGCAAAGATGAGCTGGCCGATGTTGTCCAGAGGCCGAGGCTGGTCCGGTTCATAGTCACCAAATTCTGCCTGAAAAACCAATAAAGGACATGTCACTTCAATAATTCTGAGACAAATAAGCTAAGACAGTCACATCTGGAAATTCCCACTTGCACAGACATAAAGTACTATACCTGCAACGTGTATGACCCCAGCAGGGCGTGAGTAACGAATGAGCAAGGCAGTCGACCAGAAGCCACATCTTCACGGAGCTGCAGACACAACAGGTACCTATCAGAGAGAGTTAGAAAAGAAGAACTGGCTTTAGTTCAATCTGAGTATTCACACGGAGCAGATTAAATATCTTTGTTGGAGCTGGATTTGGATTTGTTGTACACTTTTCTTATCGTATCCTCGTACACTGGTATGTTGGAATAACCTCATGTCTAATCCTCCCCATCACGTACCCAAACTCAGCTGCGTAACATGTAGAATTGCAGTCAGTGAACTGTTTGGGCGCCTGTGTGGATTTTCGACAGAGTAAGCTGTCCTCTTTGTAAGAATTCATTATGTGAATGGAGCTTGTGTGAATGGCTAATGCGGACACCTCGAGGTGCTGCTAACTGTCATTCAGAGTCACTTAAGCAGGATGGACACTTGATGTTGACATGGAGGCTTAAACCCCAGTCATCCAGTTACAGGGCTTCTCTTCACTGGAGCGATACGCAGCCGCAGGACAATAATGTATTTATGGGAGTGAACATTGTCGTACAGTCTGTGGAATTAGGAGGTCTACTGAAACTTAAAAGAGATGAATAGGCTAAATTATACCTCTATACTCCTGGAGGAGAAACAGCACCCAGTAGGTGACTTGTTGGCACTTGTCTGAGTAAGTATATGCGTGTTGGTGAATGCCTGTGTTTGTGTGTCCTCAATAAGCCTTCAGCTACAACCATCAGAGAAGTTGCTCGCTCCATTAGACATACACTTCACCCTAAATGCTGTGCGCTTGGAGCATGCCCGCGTGTGGGTGTGCATATGTATAAATGGGGCCGGAAGAATCAACTGTACACCACCTGCCCAACACCACAGCAGACAAAGTTAAAGACAAGCCGATGAACAAACAGTAGAGGGATATTTAGAGAGAAGCATAAGAGTCTGATATTGTTTTCAGATGCAGGTGAGGACCAGAAACTGAGCGCAATGGAGACTATGACGATCAAGCCTTATTTGTCAGGTGACCAGAAACACATTTCCAAGTTAATGCTTATGTCACTGTGTCTGTGTAAATAAGCAAACAGTTGCTGAACAACTTTGACAGGTGGTAATATGCCAGTGTGTTTATAGCTTGTTCCATTACCCCAATGCCCATAGAAAATAAATGAATGCAAATTTATGTGAACATTAGTACATCTCGTAGTGGTGTGTGCGGCTGTGAGTGTGTGTTTGTACCTGGTAATGTCTTCAGTGAGCAGTGAGGGGTCTGGAGGGTAGAACTTGACATTGAATGAAAACTGCCAGTTGTTACCTAGAGAAAAGGAGATTGATTATTATTTAGAGTGATTTAAAACACAGTAACATTGTAAATGTAGTCAAAGTGCACTTAAAATGAAAAATATGAAAGACAAACTAAAATGGGGTCAGTCTGCATTGATATGCATCGATCTTTATATTTATCTCCAATGCCATCTATTCCATCTGTTTGTGTGTGTGTTTGGGAGACAGAGAAAATCAAGTGTGGGCGAGGGCAACTAATAACAGCTTTTAGAAAGCATTAAGCTTGGTACATCACACACCAGTATTACATAACCCCATATAGCTTATGTAAATACCAAACTGTAATCTTTATCATCATCAGAAACAAAAACATGTTTATCACCAACAACATCACCACTAACAGCTTCATGATTGCATCTCTCTGTTTCCTTTTGGATCGGACTAATTTCATTTCAGTCTCCATTCAGCTCCAATTTCCTACTCTCATCCCTGCACGACGCCATATTGCCTGCCCTTTTCTATCCCCACCCTTTCTCTACTGCTTGGCTTAAACATGGGATCGCATCATCTGGAAAATTCAATTGGGGAGAAGCTGACATCACGTCACGACCGCTTCCTCCCCCAAGGTCATAGACACAGGCACGTATACGCACACGTGCAAGTGGACATACGGCGATAAAAGCTCACATGCAGAGATGCAGGCGTCCCTGAGGAGCAGGAAGGATGGTGGACACTGTGAATTCCTTTCAGGAAATTTAACAATGACACTCTCTCACTGCAAAAGGTGAAGAAGATTTATTGTTTTTTCCACTGATAACAATTTTGTCACTTATTGTAAACACAGTAAAACTTCTGGAGCAGATATTTCTGCTTCCTCGTTTGTGTGTGTTTGTGTTTGTGAGTGAATATCGATGTGTTAAGTGTGTGAGTGTTCTGAGGGTCTCTTGTGACCGTCTTTCTACACAACCACGTGTCACCAATCATTCCTCCGCATGACTCAAAGAATATACACACACACTTATATACATCCATACAGTAAGACACACCCAACCCCTTACAACAGGACCACTGCAATCTCTCCACTCACTTTATCTTGACAGTTTCTATAAACCACCCCTTACCCCACCATTTTTGGGGGGTGAACTACTTCTTTAAAGGAGATGTATTATGCTTTTTTATATAGGTTTTCGGTGTATAAAAGTTCTGCAAAAAGAAAATGCTCAAAGTCTGCCGTAGAGGGAGCTCTTCTCCCCCACAGACTGCTCCTGAAACACCTCGTCATAGTCCCGCCGATACTTTCGGGGTATCGTGACGTCACATGCTAAGATTCCACACATAAGCATAATGCAGGGTTAGCGGCTAGGGGCATATCCCTAAAAATGGCAGGTAAAGCGAGAGCAAACATTTCCTACACACAGCAGTCACCGGTCAGCTAGCCAATCAGAGCGGACTGGGTTTGAGCTGAACGGGGGCCTTAAAGAGACATGAGCTTAAACGAGGGGTTTCAGACAGAGGCTGAAAAGAGGAGTTGCAGCAACGGACAGTATGAGGAAAGATGCATTTTCTAACCATTAGAGCAGGTGAAACGTTTCAAGTAACAACACAAATTAAAATTATGGGCATGAATATGAGCAGAATGTGTCTCCTTCAAAAATAGGTTTTTTTATGAATAAATAAAAGACACAACTGAACAACTTCAGGCTCCAATTGACTGATTATGCTTGTGTAGCTAAGGAAGCTCAATTTAAATTTTAGCTCTGGTCTTCTCTTCATTACTTATGTGTTAAACCAATAAAGCACAAGAATCAAACATCTGCCTATTAGCTCACAACAGAGAAACTGAATTGAATCGGCTGGAAATGTATAATGACAACGCACTGATAGTATCACAACAGTGAGACACCCTAAGGTTAGTTTGATTATGTGGAGAACATGAGTGCTTCTGTTAAACATTAAAAACAGCCACATGCGCTGCAGAGGGCTGCTGACTGGACTGAGTAAAGACTTCAGCTTTTCTGCTCGGCTTCCAGTGAAATTGGGCATGAAGTTAGATGAAATGTTGTTCCTATTATCTGCAACGGTGAAATCTAAGAAGCTCTCTCAGTACCACAGGATGTTTTACTCTCAGTTTCATTGCTGATCTCTATGCATGGTTTTCATATGCTGGAAATTGTTTTGACTTCAGACAGATCAGTTTTCAAATTTCCTTTCCTTATCCTGATACCAGATATAGTAAATAATCCCTCATAATTTTCCACTCTTATTTTTCTCATTTGATCTTAAGTGCTGTCACATTTTCCCAACTTTCTTTAAATCGTCCAACTGGCATGTTTTTCCTCCTTCTTTCCCTCCTCAAATCTTCAAGAATGTGAACTACTACACAAGATTTTTAGTATCTTTTCATTGAGCAGATTTAACTCATTATAGTGCCCCTGATGTCTCACATTTATTGAAAATAAAAAAAGCAGTCCCACCCACAATGCGCTGGTCATCAGTGACAACTTGACTAGCAACGTTGAAGGCAAAAAGTTGTTAACACATCAATCCACCTTGTCATCTGTACAAGAGAACACATCCCCTACTACAATTGTTGTTTCATCGACAAAGTATTTTCTGTAAGTAACCAACCAACTGCAAACAGACAAACAACAAGTGTATGAGAATGGTCATGTGATATGTGTAGTCAGGTGCATTAGTATGGACGGGGATTACGGAGCTTGTGCTTCTCAGAATCCCTTCCAGGTCCAAGCCTGTAGTGAGGTGAAGTTATGACGGCGAAGTGCAGACTGATGGTAGTTTAGAGCCAAACAGAGTCAAGCGTGTCATTTGTGCAGCATTTTCTCCGCATGCACACACATACACACAGATACAGAGGCATCCAACTCACATGACCACAGATGCACGTGATCAAACAGTCGTTTTTCCTCTGTATAAACATTCACACGCACAGAAAAATGTAAACCAACGAACACATGCAGCCAGACACACACCACTCATCCATGAACCACAGGCACACACAGCAGCACCGCCACAGAAACACAGGCATGTACTCTCACCACAGTCTGAGAGGCTCACACACAGTCCGCACACACCCAGACACAACTACCTCACATGATCTAATTCTAAAATAACCCTTTATGAGCCAAAATTATATGTTTTTTTTCTGAGTCTTCCTCTTAAAAGTGTGACTCTACGTTTTAGACTGTGTTTTGAAGCCATCAATGAAAATAAAGGGTGCAAGAAACTAAAAGCAAAATGTTTGTTATTTTAAAGTTATGTGCATATTCTTCAAAAATATTCACACACTCTGCGGCATCCCGCCACTCTTTCCTCAGACTCATATATTGATGTTGCTGCTCTATCTGTTCTTCCTCTTCCTTGCATTCCTCAACCTCTCGTGGCTCGTCCTCTAGTTCTGCTGCCACTTCCCCTCTTCCCATCTCTCTGACTGGGAAGACTGGGTGTGAAATCACTGTTGTCAGTCTAACAATAACTGAAAGTTAACAAGTGTGGAAAACATTATTCCCTTAGTTGTTCGAGCTAAAGTTAACTGTGTGTGAGGGTTGAAACTTGGTTGCGAGTGGCCAGTGAACCCAGCTCTTTAACTTGTATGCAGCACACTCTAATACATGCCTTGAATGACTGATACAAAGAGGGCATGAAGGCATCCACAAAAAATGTAGTCATCCAATGCAACAGCCCACTAGGATTTGTCTTTGGACGTCCCAGTGGCCAGTCTGACTATGACATAAAGGAAGGAGGAAGTGAGAGAAGGAACCAATGAGTGCATTTCCTTGTTCTTACGGATTGCCCCTTACATAACAACAGTCTATAGGTAACACACAATGCTAATTAAATGGAGTGGAGAATCTATCAATGCCCTGTTTGCTCAGTGTTAATGAGAGCCAACTTAAAAACAATCGATGCTGATTGATGGTGAACTTGAGGACACCTCTTCCACTGAAACGGACATGCGGTGTGCTTCCATCGCTCTACATATGCAGTCAGTAAAGAAAAGATGGGCTGCCACACCTGGCCCTACATTTATAAATTAACACCGTTAATAAAGAGATTGATAAATAATGAAACAGAGTGATCACACGCTTGTAGCCTCTTCCACGTTGCCATACTGTTGTTGTGGGGTTTCAGATTTCTCAGCTTTTGTTTGACTGTGCTGTGACGTAGTTTGTTTTTCTATTGGTATGAGGATACTTGCTATGATTTATTAATCAAACATGGATCTATTCATTGTCTTTTTACTTTTCACGTGAAACAGCTTGTACTGTTGGTGGGTGGGTGGGTGGATGGATGGATGGATGGTCCACATCTTTGAGTCAGAATCAAAACCCAAGAGTGTGATTTGTAAAGAGATTTAACTTACTACGTATCTGCCGCTTGATTTCCTTAGTGGGATCCAACCAACACTAAAAACAGATTAAACAAAGAGAAAGAACACAATTTTATCTGTCAAAAAACTGTGAGACACTCTCCAGACATACATGTCTGCAGTTTACATTACAGACAATACATCCTCTGTGTGTGTGTGTGTGTGTGTGTGTGTGTGTGTGTGTGTGTGTGTGTGTGTGTGTGGATACATACCTTCTGTTCATGGCTGTCCTTATACGTCAGTCCAAAGTAGTCTTTTTCCAGTAGATTAAGATGCTCACACACCTTAAAGAATAAGTACTGGCCCTTTGCACGTTTCTGTAGAAGGAGAGAGAGATTGACAAAGATTATAATAAGCACATTCAATTTGGATGGGAAAACAATCTTAAAAGCGACAACACAATGTTTTCAGTTGTCAAGCTTTTAATTTCATTATAGAATTTGAGAAATGTGACAGAAAAACATGAGTATTCTCTGAAAAAAAACATTTAAGGTCTGTCCATAGCTTCTGACCAAAGCATCTCTGTTCCTTCTTTTATCAAAATCAGCTTCATTTTTCTCTTGATCTTTTCTTGAGTCGCTCCATCTGTCTCTGGGCAATGCATTCCTTCATATCCCCCGAAGGGACCCTTGGCCATAAAATCCTCCACACTCAACTATGACAATGACATTTAGCACACATTCATGCATGCTCGAGCGTGCACGCACACAAAAACATAACGGTGCCCTTTGGACAGAAAGAAGGTCAGACAGAGAAAAGGGAGGGTGGAAAAAACGACGAGAAGGAATGAAATAATTTAATAGTGGCTGTGTCTCTTCAGTGGGCCATCGCAGGCCCGCACTGGCGCTGCTGCACAGACTGTGAGAGTGGCATTGCTCAGACAGTGTGGTGAAAGAGAATGGGGATGAAAGAGGGCATTTTTCGTCTCGTCCTGGGACAACTGGCAACATCTGCAGACACATGGGCCGCATAGACGCTCAGTGTGGCTGCAAAAACCCAAACAATGCGACCTTTCAGGGTTTCGCCGTTTGTGCTGATGTACTTCCGAGCCAGGCACTACCTACAGAAAACTGTCTAACATCCTCAGGCAATTACAAAGATCTGGAATTTTAAAAATCTTTCATCCAAACAATTGTGTGTCTCTGTTAGACATGGAACTGTATAACAATGATTTGAGAGACTGTTACAATTGTGTATGGAAGGAATAAAAAGAGGCTTAGAAAATACCTCCAATTTCCTTAGCTCATATCCTCAGCAATATAAACAAAAAGGTTAATTGTGATGAAAAAAGATTCAGAGGAAAGAAGTCAGGAATTTAATGAAAAACATGTATGAAGCTATATAATCTATAAAATAATAATTGCTATAGAGAGCACAAGAGATGAGATGCTTGTTAGCATCTTGTTTTTCTGTGTAAACATGAGCCAGTAAATGTCAAACCCACAGCAACTGGGCCTAATATTAGCAAGTACCTTTTCACTCATGTCTGAAACCCTAATGAATTTCTACGAAACGGTGCTTAAACCGTGTGACACTAAAATCCTGTTGAAACCAATACTAATGAAATTCTTAGAAACAGCATTAAGACCATGTGACACAGAGGCTCCCCTTTGAAACTCACCACTAAAGAGAGTTGGGCCAAGGTTCGCATCCAAGGCACGGCAACTAATAAAATATGTATTAAGCTATTACATCAGAATAAATTTGATGCAATCAGTTAATAAATACGACAGATGGATGATGGAGGAATGGACAGGGAG